GCAATTTTTATTTCATTATAAGAAAGGAATGATGTAATTTTAAAAACATTTTTAAATTTAGGGCCATATATTTACAGTTGGAAGGTACTTCAGAGATCACCTGAATCCAACTCTTCATTTTTTAGATAAGGAAACTGAAGCCCAAAGTTTGGCTAATCCTAAGGAACAGTACGTAGCAAAGCCAAGATTCAAACCCAGGTTCTCTGATTCCAAATCTTTTTTAACATTTTTTCACTATTTCATGCTGTCTCTCATTAAAATTCTGTAGGACCCATACCGAGGCCGGAAGGGATGGTAGCAGGGATACGTGGGGAAGAAGAAACACTGCCTACCACTTTCATCAGCTACCCAAGAGGAAGAGTTGGAGCAGCTGCAGCAAGCAGACACCTGGCCACACAGACTCATGACTTGCTAGAGATTGGTGCCTGAATTTCATACCACTGCCAAACCTTAACACCCCACCCCAACTCCTCCACCAACCACTCAGGTTGAGAAACAAAACCAGAACCAACCCAACTCTCTGCAACATCCTTTAGAGACTATGTGCTTCTTTACCCATCTATCACTATTACCCTATGGCTTCTCTTACTTTCTATCCTTATATTAATCACTGGACACTTAGAAAACGGTCCCCACTTCCCTCCTTCCTTTCTCTCATCCCTATTCCTCTCAATCCTAACCCTACTGAATCACCCACTCCAACCCTGCTCCCTTTTTTCATTGTCTGCTCTGGAATTCCTATTCCACTGTGAACTCACTCCCCTTCATGCTGGACCTATCTCATATTACTTCTATTGACCATCACTGAGATCTTAATCTCCTCTGATGACACTGTCTATCCCCTTCATCATTGGCTGTTCCTTCTCTCACAGCCTTCTTCCTCTCCCTCCTCACGCGATACTGGTTCTGAAGGCAAGTCAAAACACCCTTGATCCCCACTGTCACTTTCAGGCTGCTACCTCCTATCAACTTTTCCTTCTTTAAAGTCCAATCACAATTTTCCACCCAGTTGAAATTATAACTTAATATACTAACCCCTAAGTTATTCTCCTGCTTTTCCCAAGAAATTCAACATCTTGTTCACCTTCTTCCCAACTCCTGCTCTTATACTAGTAACTTCATAGATGCTCTCTCAAACTTCCTAAATGCCCAATTCTTCAGTGTTCTTAAATCACAAGACCTACTCCTTCACTCTACCTCAACCACACAAAGGGATAGTGAGGTCACACACTATATAGCTCACCACTGAACCACAAGTGTTCCACTTCCCTAATTAGAAATTCTGGCATTCCCCTATCTGACTATAACCTATTATTCCATTTCTCTCTATGCCTCATTTCTCCTAAATCTGTTCTTCACCCTGAAGACATTCAATTCCTTCACTTCTCAATCCCTTCTCAGGTCACTACCCCTACTCTAACTTCACTTTCTTCCCTCTCCAACCTCAAATCTTGTAGATTTTCCCTAGGGCCCTCTCCAGTCATCCTGATCTATATATTGCCACTGGACCCAGATGACTCATAACTTAGCCATTTCAACTCTGCTTGAGTCCCTAGCCTCCTTCACAATCTTCTCTTGCCGAACCTCAGTCTGAGATTAAGTCCACCATCCATTTCCTTCACTCCTATTCACAAGCCACTGAACAAAGCTATAAGGACTAATTGGGTATATTACAAATTCATGTTACCCAACCTCAACTGGGCCCTCACTAGAGCAAGGCAGTCCTTTTATTCCTCCCTGATTCCTTATCTCACTTCCCACAGAAACTATTCCAAACTTTTCTTCCCTCAATCTCCCCAAAACATCCCTCCCCCTTCTTAGGTGAGGACTTTGCCTCTTCACTGAAAAAAATGAGGCCATATGATGTGTTTCCTTATCTTTTCATCTCAAAACATAACCCCAACTCTCTCTTCCTTTCCCCTAGTCTGGCAAAGAGATGGCCCTTGTCCTTGCCAAGGTCAACCTCTCCACATGTGCTTTTGATTCCACTCCTTTCTGTCTTCTTCAGCAGACTGCATCCTTATTTATCCCCCATCTCTCAAATCTTCCATCTCTATCAACTTCTTCCTCTCCTATAGCCTTAAAACATGCCCTTTCCCACTCCTTAAAAACCTTTGTTAGGCCCTACCATACCTTCAAGCCTTTGTCCTTTATCTCTCCTAGGTCAAACTCCTGGAAAAAAGCTGTCGATATTAACTGTCTTTCTCTCTCTCTCGTACTTCAATCCTTTGTTATTCGGTTTCTTACCTTAACACTCAACTAAAACTGCTCTCTCCAAAGTCACCAAAGATCTCTTGACAAATCAAGTTTCCCAGTCTCTGTCCTCTTAACCTAGCTAATCTATCTGCTGCATATGAATGACATTGTTGACAACCCTCTCCTCCTCTCTAGGTTTTCATGACACCACTGTCTCTTGATTTGTCTTCCTCTATTCCCTCTTAATCATCCATTTCATATCCCCCAATTATAAGTGCTCCAGTCTATCCTAGGCCCTAATCTAAGTAACCACATCAGCTCACATTGGTTTAACTATCACCATTATGTAAATGACTCACATCTATATATCAGGCCCCATTCTTTCTCATAAACTTCAGTTTCCTTCCACTACTGGGCATTTCAAAATAGATCTATCAAGACATCTTAAACTCAACATGTCTGAATCCCTTCCCCTACCCCTTCCTTTGTGTTGAAGACACCACCATTCTTCCAGGTTCATAACTTTTAGACACAGCTCAGGAACTATCTTCTTTATTAAGCTTTTATGCCAACTGCTACTGCCTTCCCTTCCAAACTACTACTTTATAGATTTATGCTGTAAATTTTTACATGTACTATTCCCCTCCCCATTAAAAGGTAAATTCCTTAAAAGTACATGTTTCATTCTTTGTACTTAAATTCACTGTTATTAGGCATTTTTATGGTCGTTTTGAAGTTTTAAGAAATTAGCAATAACTAAAATGAGTTTTTTTTGTCTTTTGTTTTCAATATTTATGGAGCCACTATAAAGGAGAATAGCATCAGGTTTTATACAAATCATGACTAAACATCCTATTTACCTGTAGTCTAGATGTTCATCTAAATGTTTGTGTACATTCAGGCCCCTGCAGGCAAGAATTTACTTTTAGAATATCTTAACAATATTTCCTTTAAATTTTGTTTTCTGGCTTTTAAATTTCCTATCACAGAACAGGACATGCTATTTTGTAACTCTCACTGGAAGCATGGGATGATAAGAAGTCTAAGCACTGCCTAAAACTGGACTACTGGTTTCTGAAATATCACATAGATATTTGGTGAGACTCCTCGTTTTTACACAAATTCCAGCAAGAGATGATTTGGATGATTTATTACCTAATGCACGTTTTCAGCTTCTAAACATTTGGATGACCTGTAGTTTTGAGTAGTCAAGTACTTCTGGGCAGTGGCCAAATTGAACATGTGCCCCCAACTTTCCATCTGCTTAAATGTCTTTTAATGCTTCAATGTCTTCCTTGGAAAATTCACACTTTCTTTCTCATATATATAAGGGGGTGGAAAAATCAGATGACTCCTGATCATAATGCAGTAGTTTTTCCTCACATGGCATATTAGCCAAGGGGGAATCCCCCCCCAACATTCTTTAAAATCATATCCTGCTGCACCAAGCAAACCCGATGTGTCTGATCCATCCACTTCGTTCCGCCGCACCTCCCCCCTGACTCCCCACCCACCCGGCCAGAAACAAGGGCAGACCCCCCTGAAATGCCTGTCATCACCTCTGCAAGTGCTGTGTGGTCTCTGACCCATGGGCTTCCAACTTGGCAGGAAGAGGCTTGAGGTTCAAAGCCTCAAGAGCATCAGCTCCACCCAATGAAGATAACCGAGACGGAGGGAGGCCTCGGTCAGGAAGCATGGAGGGGGGGGCGGGGGCGGCCAGGGTGAAACCAAAACCTCGGGCTCTTCTCGCTTTACCTTAGCCCCGGAAGGGGGGTGGGGTGCTGATAGCATCTTGGGACCCCTCCCCCACAGACTCACACCTCCGAGTTTGAGTTTTTACCCTCAGAGCTTAGACCGAGAGGGAGCCGCAAGCGACGAGAAAACACCGTTTTCTGGGCAGGGCGAGGGCGGGGTGGGGACAGGGGTGTCCCCGCTTCTCCCCCGCTAGCGAGGGTGGCTCTTCGCCCGTTTCGGACCGTCGGCGTTTTCACACGTCGCTTCCAGCCGCCCCCTTAACCTCTCCCGGGCTCCGCCGCCGCCCCAACGGTGGCTAACGTTCCCAGGCACCACGGGCTCCCCTCCCTCCCACACCCCGTCCCCCAACGGCAGCTGGCCTCGAGCCACCCGGCTCCGAGGGCTGCTCGGCGGCCCGGCTCCGCGTCTCCCTCGCCCCGGCCCGTCACGCCTCGGTCCTCTCCTTCCTCGCACTCGCCCGCCAGCGTCCCTGGACTGAAGGCAAAGAAGCGAGCTCGCGACTACAGCCAACCAGCGACCCTCGAAAGCGCGAGACTGAAGGAAAGCCGAGGTCCGCAGGAGCAGACGAGGGATGAACGTTAGGGGGCACGTGACCGGGGGAGGAGACGGGAGCTCCACCAATGACAAAGCGCCGTGCCCGGCAGTGGGACGGCGCAGCGGCCTGAGTGGGGCGGGGTCCAGAACCCTGGCAAAGCGGAACGGGGAGGGGCAGGGGGCGGGGCAAAGGAGTGGGGCGGGGTTATCAGAGGGGGAGGGAGGGGGGGAGGGGGCGGCCGGGGGGGGGGGGGGGGGGCGAAGCGCCGCCGCCGCCGCCGCCGCCGCGGCTGCTGCAGCCTCTGGGAGCCTGGAAAAGGGGAAGCGAGGGCGAGGGAGGGACTCAGTCCCCGGCTAGGCGGCGACGGGGGTGGCGGCTGAGAAGGCGGCAGGAGGGCCGAGGGAGGCAGCGTCAGGGGCGCTGCTGCTGCTGCTCCTGCTGGTGCTGCTGCTGGAGGCGGCGGTGGCGGAGGAGGAGGAGGAAGAGGCGGCGGCGGCGGCGGCGGCGGCGCAGGAGGAGGCGGCAGGGGCGGGCGGCCCGCACCAGCCATGCCGAATAAAAACAAGAAGGAGAAAGTGAGTCCGGGATCCCGGCGCGCCCGCCGAGCCTGCGGAGGGGACAGGGGCTGGGGGCCGGGCCTGGAGGCGGGAAGGGGAAGACGAAACTGCCCCTGTGGGGACGGGGCCTAGTGTGGGGGGCCCGGGCGCCGCCCCCTTGAGACTAGAACTCGCAGACAACTTCTGCTCCTGGCGGGGGGCGCGTCCGCGCTTCCCCCGCTCTCCGGGACCCCGGCCCGGCCAATGACAACTGATGCTCCGGAGTTAGTCACCCTGGAAGCGGGGCAGGCGCGGAAGCGCCCGGGGTGCCCAGGCCTCGGACGGGGCAGCCGGAGCCCTCCCTCCCGGCGGCCTAACCCTAGGTCCACCCCCCCTACCCCTCAGGAGTTGGTAAATCTCAAGCAAGTGGGGGGGGCAGCCCTCACCACCCGCCCACGCCCGGGCTGCTGCTGGCGCCCACACCTCGCCCCCTCTGCTCCCCTCCAGGCCCCTGGGGACCAGTGACAGCAGCCCGAGCTTGTCCTGGGAGGAAAGGCGGGGGGGGTGCGGCTGCCCCGGGAAACGGCATCTGGCGTCCACAGTCGGTGCCTCCCCCGCCCCAGAACCTCTCCGGAGCCGCAGCAGCAGCGGGGGTGGTGGCGGGGTGGGGGTGAGACCGGTGGCAGAGATGCTTTGGAACATGCTTACTGGCCCTGGAGAAGAGGGTGAAGCAGCAGCAGCAGCCGTCGGGGGTCTGTGGCCGGGGGTCGTGCGGGCTCTGCATGGGGAGAGGGTTTGGGGAATCAGCTCTGGACACCAAACTTCCTTTGCTCATCGTAGTTGTCTAGTGGATTTCTCATGATCGTGAGGAGCGTTGTGTCCCTTCGGAGAGAGACTTTCTAGTGCTATAAAATAGTATTATTATTCTGCATTGTGATGATGTGTATGTGTGACGATATGTATTTGTGCTGCGTTAGCTTTTTTTGTTTTGGTTTCTGGTGGCGCTGTATAGCATTTTAGTGTCACCTTAGAAACCACCATCATAGGAGTTTAGAAAAAGGGAAAAGGAAGGGGACTTTTTTTTTTAAACACATGTAGAACACCATAAATAACTGCATATATCTTGCATCCGTTTTTTTTTGGTAGCCTTGGTATAACAAAAACTAAAAAGAGTAAATGTCTTGTATTACTTAACAGTAGCATATTTTAGAACTTTTTGATAATATTAAAATGAGGTATAATTGTATATGTTCTTAAAAGTTTTAAAACTTTTAAGGGTTTTGCAAACTCAGAAATATAAAACTTAATCTGCTTGATGTTTTCTCAGGAACCAGCAAAATCGGGGAAAAGTGGAAAAAGTACAAAAGAAGGACAAGATGCTGTAGAACAGGAGGTAATTGTTCTTAACTATTGTTTTTTGACTTTGGTTAAACATTTTTGGTTCTGGCAGTTAGCAAAACTAAGAGTGGCAGCACTCCGAATACTTGGCATTTTCCCCCAAATGGGACTTTTGACTTCTGCCATCCCTTCTTTGTATTTACTTAGAAAATATTGGAAAAATGGAAATTTGAAAATTCAGATTTGGAAAAATGAGGAATAGGGATGTTTAAATGAAAAGTTCGGCAATGTAACTGTGTAATCCCAAAGGCTTCTTCTCCCTCTTCATCCTACCAGACCTGATATTGTTTCTGTCAGGCAGGCAGGCATGTTTCTCTGACACATGTTCTACTTATCCCTTTTAGCTGCTGGTTCTTTTCAGCTGCTGGACCAGTTTCTTTTTAATCTGCCAGGAGCCTATATCAGCTGTTAATTCTTCACCCTCTCATTTGTACTCCCAGTACCCACCTCTCAATCTCTATACACTCTTCAGTTGCTTACTCAACTCCCCTCTCCCCTCTTCAGCTGCTAAAATGAGTGTACCTGTGCTAGGTCCTTCTTTCCTATGATATTGGTTAATTGATATCTTAACATTTCCTGTCTCTCATTCTCCCCACCTCCCATTAAAAAGTCTGTTGTTGTTTTTTAAAATCATTTTTAGCCTTTTCTTATGTTCTCCTATCAGTGTTCTATTTCAGTATTATTTCACACTTTTTTGTCCCATTGTGCATGTTACTTTTGATGATTCGTGACAGAGTAAATTCCAAATTATACTTATATTTGACAGCAGCCTATTTTTTAATTCTTATTTACTGATGATGTCATTGACCTACTGTCAGGACAGTTGCTTTGAGTCATTTTAACTTTCGGATTTCTACAGTCACCACTTTGTTTTGCCCATTGGGTCTCTGCACTGAATGAAGATGACTGGGCTCAGGAACCTAAATCATACTATCTAAAAGAGAAGCTAATAAGCACATTGAGTTAAGCTCTTTACAAAAGAAACAGTCTAATTTTTAGTCTGGTGGTTCTGAGAGCTGGCTGCATAACATACCTGGTCTGATCACTTTGACATTCATTCTCATTCCCATTTAAATTAAATTAGAATTAGTGAAATTCCATTTAGGAATTATACTTAAATTTTTTTGAAAGCTGTGTAAGAAACTTTAATAGGTTCCATTGAAGCTAATTTTTCCTATGTAAAACATTTTCTTTATTATATATGCATGTATATATTATATATGTGTGTGTGCATACATATATATCTATATCTGTGTAGGTACTTGACTCTTATGAACGATTTTAAATTTCTATTTCCTTACCATTACCACTCATCATACTTTAGATCTCCCTCCTTTAGCAGTTAGGGAATGCAAAGCAATTTTAATGTTAAACTTAACAATTAATAAGATAAATCTGGACCCCAAAAGCATACAAATACATTGAAAATTTTTTAAAATATACTTTAGAATTATTTATACCAGTATTTTTCCTACCCTTTCATTAATATAGGTAATCAAAAATTGACTGTACTAACCATTTTAATTGCATATTTTGTTAGCATATTCTGTGAATCGGTTCATTTAAATTGGCATAGTAGATAGAGGGTGGCCTTGGAATCAAGAGGGTCTGGGGTCATCTCCTGCCTCTGGCATATGCTAACAGCTGATCATTGTATAAGTGACTTGAACTCTCTGTGCTCCAGGCAATTTTTTTTAAATAAATTTTTATTGCTGTATTTTGTGTATACAAACAACTACATTTGTCATGGTAATCCTCCCTTCACTCTTCCCATGTAGCAATCCCTTAAAACAATAAGAAAGAGGAATAAAAACAATTCTTCCAACTTACCTACATATTGGACAAAGCCTGGCATTGAATGTAGAGTCCCATAGACCCCTCCCTGCTCTCCAAGGAAATGTGGGACAGATGGTTCTTTAACACTTTAAGTGACTGGTAAACTGGTTTGCCTCAGAGGTGGGGCTTTCCACACTATGAGTTCCTACACTGAAAGTTTCCCAGGAAGTAAATGTTCTATTACCAACCTTGACCTGTCCAATAACTGCCAAAGTTTCCTAGGCACTCTTCAGACGCTTCTTGCTTTGCAGTATATGTGTTGGCAGAGGCCCATGAGGTGATCTTACAGCCCTGGATTTGGAGTCAGTGAACTTGAGTGCAAATTCCAGCTGTGCTGTTAACTACCTGTGTGACCTTGGACAAGTCATTTAAGTCCGTGGGCCTCAATATCCTACTCTATAAAATGAGGGAGGTAGACTAGATGATTTCTAAGGTTCCTTGTTGCTCTAAATCCTGTAATATTCCCTCTCCCTAATAAGGGCTTATAAGGATTTCAATGTGTTTATTTTACTTACCTAGATTTTATTGCAGGGAAAAATCAGAATTGGAGACTACTAAATTCAAACTAGGATTTGAACCTGAAAAGCTATTAGTAGCTCAACAGGAGGAAGGGTTTGAGAGGCAGTAAAAACGTTATCAGTTTTGTAAATCATTTAGATTGTTTGCTCTTAGCTTTGAGATCTTTTTAGCTACTGAGATCTAAGCTCATTCTCCGCTTCTTTTTGTAACTTATCTATTCCACCAATAGTGCTTTAAAAGTTAGAATTAGAAGGGGCAGCTAGGTGGCGCAATGTATAGAGCACTGGCACTGGAATCAGGAAGACCTGAGTTCAAATCCAGCCTCAGACTCATAACACTTACTAGCTGTGTGACTCTGGGCAAGTCACTTAACCCCAATTGCCTTGCCAAAAAAAAAAAGTTACAACTAGAGAACCTGAAGTTACCATGGATATTTCCTTGAAAGGATAAAGGATAGAATATTTTGAATTATTTTAATATAAAGTGAGTAACTTTTAGTTCCCGGTGAACACTGTATTGGTCCTTGCTCATTTACTGCTCCTTCATAGCTTTTCCTCTTTCTACCTTGCCTCTAGTTCTACTTACTTATTATTGTATGAAAATGAATGAAAAAACATGTACTACCTACTTATTATGAGTCAAGCACTGTGCTAAGCATTTATTAAATGATTGACTTATTGTGTGGTAAGCTAAGCCATTACTGCATTTTTAAAATTTCTTTCCTGTTATTACCATTATGTCTGAATATTTCAAATGGGAATCTTAAATAAGTTTGAAATTTCCCTGCCTCGTTTCAAAGCCTTCTTGATTTAATATCCATCTTTACAATTATTGTTTTTCAGCACAGTGCCCTGCATGTAGTAGGTAGGCCCTTAATGATAAAATGTGTGTTGAAATGAATTGAATATCCCATGAGTTTGCCATACATCAGGGCAGTGTACCGCTCTTGGAGCTCCATGTGAGAAGAAATAACAAATCTAACCCAAACATCCAATAGCCAGTTGAATCGAAAATAGCACCAGCAAGGAAATTGTTCAAGAATTTGACTTTTTGTAGCGATGGTTCATTTTGTTTCAGATGTTTGAATGATTCTTATAATAACTGTTCTCTTTCTTCAATGAAGAGAACTCAGGAAGGAAGTTGGCTTAAGGTGCAAAAAGAAGTTTGCTTAATGGATTCTGGATAAGGGGAAATGAAATCTTCTGAATTAATTGGTACTAGGAAGAACAGAGTTGTGTAGTGGAAGGAACCTTGTGGTGGGAATCAGATGACCCAACTTCTAGTTCCATAGGTGCCATAAACTTGCCCTTTGACTTTGCATGGGTCCCTTGACCTCTTGGAGTCATAGGTTTTTTCTCTCTGAAATGAAGAATGACTTCTAAAATTCTTTTCACTTAAAATTCCCTGTACTTATAAATGACATCCATTTAACTCTTTTGGCTGGTTTAAGAGAAATACCACCTGAAAGAACTAGATAACCTATGGAAGTTTTCTGCGATAAGGGTTTTTAACCTTTCATGGACTCCTTTGGCAGTCTGGTGAAACCTATGGACCCCTTCTTAATGTTTCTCATGCATAAAATAGAATACATAGGATAACAAAGGAAACCGATTATATTCCAATACAGTTATCAGCATATTAAAAAAAAAAACAAGTTGAGGGATCCAGCGTTAAGAATCCCTGCGCTACAGTTATTTAGATGTTTTCACTTTTGAATGTAGCAAAATACTATAATTGTAATTGCTTTAGTTACTTTTATTGAATCTTACTGCTTTATATTTATCTCTTTCCTTCCATCCTCTTCTTCACTCCACCTCCATAGCTTGTTTGTAGTTATTGATAAGAAACTATCATAAATGGACTCCCAAATCATTTCATATTGGAATATGATTTGGAAATTGGCAAAGAGAAACAATTCTTAAAGAACATTACATTTTCTTAGTATGTAATATCTAAATCTTTGCAAATGCAAGTAAGAATTTTTTGTCAATTTGTAATCTTTGTAAATTGATTTGTTTTTCTAGATTTAGTTGTATAGAATTAAACTGTATGTGTAATGTTTCTTTGATGCCATTTACATATTGGTTATTGCTTTAAAAAGAAATTTAGTGCGTCTTCAAAGTATCTGATTTTAAACATATTAAAGTAGTTACATTTTTTTTCCTTCATCATTATATTAGGTATATTTACTGATTTAGTTATGTTTAGAAGGTCTTTGTAGCAACTTTATAATGTCTTGCTGAAGAGAAGGTCTGTAATAGTTCCTATGTCTTGCCCTATTATCCTGTGTTGTCACCATGTACCTTTTCAGATGCAACTTTTGACAGCCCTACTTTGTTCCTCATATGTCCAGTCAACCCCAAAGTTCTGCTGATCCTTCATTTTAAGATTTTCTCCAATGTGTCACTTTTTATTCCTGATGACATCAACCTTGTCACTTCATACCTGCGTTACTGCAATGGTCTGTCCCTGCTTTAGACCTTTTTCCTGCCAACTACCCTGCACAATTACTTTCATCACGTTGGTCCTCTGCTCAGAAATCTTCAGTGACTTCATTGCTTCCTGGGTGTCAAACTCATCCTTACATTTTAAAATGTAATGTTATCTATGTTTTGTTATTTTTTAATTATTTTGTTAAAT